GCTTGGATGAGAACCAGCACTGAGCGACTGAACATCGAAACAAAACAGTCAACGTTCTAGGGTGATTTGGATGTTCATGGACAGCAAGGGATGTTAACTAGCTAGTGATGTCTCATGATATTGTTTACTTCTTGCCGTTGTGTGTGTACTCTGTGTTCACTGGCAGCTGCGTTTTGCCCTGCAGTAAGTATGATGTAGCTCCTTTGCGAAAGGAAGAGGAACAGCCGAACAAAGATCCCAAAAGCTGGGGTCACTCAGGAACTACTTCTCATAGCCATGAATGGGGTAAAGACTTAAACATACAATGATATTGTGATTATGTATAAACACATTCCTAGAAACTCAACAAGCTTGTCTAACCACCGCTTCAGCTCAGCTGGCTGCATTTAATGCAATCAGAGAAGTGCTTGACGACACTTGTTTGACACATCTTTTTCTTTGCAGGTGTCTAAAGAGTGTGGGCCAACTATCAGCTCTAACAACACAAGGAAAGACATGGAGTTGCTCACACTTACTATCAACACGTTGACATTTGATCGAAGGTAAAGTTTTGTGGTGACTATGCCTATGCTATTTCCATCTTTCAGTCTTTGCTTTCCTGAGAGGTTTATGTGCGAGTGACCGTCTTAAACCCGTAAGAATAACACAAGACACCTTTGCACGCCTTTGTGCCTTTACACAATACTGGTATGCAACAATGTAGTCTGACTGGTTAGTTGATTGCTGGCTCCGGTGTTTGAAGTGCTCTGGCAATGGATCGAAGTTGAGAAAAAGACCCTGAGGATGCACCAGTCACTCCCAGATGTTGCATTCGTGCCACTTCAAATAAGTGAATGATCTTGTGAAGGAGTGCCCTGATTTGTGCCTGCTGTCCAGGTCAATGCTTCAGATGCCGCAAACCCTTTTTGGTCTGCGTCAGTTGCTTGGAAGGCACCAGCGGGGGTGTATATGTGAACATGGCAGAATTCTCAATCCAAGAGCAGCCCCAACAAGGCTTGTCCGGGTGGAGCAAGGGGAATCTGGCCGCTCATTCACTTGACGGATAGACGTTGAGTCGGTTACCCAACAGACCGTGGAGATCGAATGTGGAAAACAAGATGAACATCAATCCTGGGTATGGAGACTTCTCCGGCTTCAATGTTGGAGGTCGTTATCACATCTTTTGTCACGATGTCAGAAATGGGCTTGAGACTTCCTGAACCTGGAAGGATTAAATGACACACAACAAGTGGTGCTTTCCATCCTGTTTCATTTTGATGCTGTGGACGTTGATATATTTGATTGTATTTGCATTGAACATTCAATTTACCGTCATGCAAGTATAGAGGAAGATCTGTCAAGCGGATGTGGAAGCTCCAGGAAAGTGAACATTACAGGCACTCAAAGCCAGGGGATGTACCGGGCGCGTGGCAGCACAGAACGATTACTGTTCGCGTGTCATCGACCAAGCATTCGACAGAGATTCGATATAGAAGCGTGCCCTAGTCTCAGTTGTTCCTCATTTTCTCACTAGAGGAAGAAGTTTTTCTTGGTACTGTAAATGCCGCAGTGAATCGTTGCCGAGGCGAATGCATCAGATCCGCAGAATGGCGCGGGGCTCTTTGCGTCTGTACTCTTGCTGCATTGGGCATGGATGAAAGCAATATCTGCAGGGCATTGTGATTGGGCTTCGATTCCACCCTGAGACAGGAAACAGGTAGTACGTCTAATTCGGAAGCAAGGCAAACGGAAGCAGGAAGACGAAGGGAAGGGGGGCTTGGGTGGTTCCATGTTCATCGATGCTTCATTCTTTTTCGATTCGCTGTGCCCCTGATCCCCCGTCGTTGGCCCGGTCGTTGCTGCTCAATCCGAACCACGAACGACCGGGACGGTGAAACCTAGGTGAACGCTGCGAACGCAGGTGGCGGAGGGAATGGTTCGGTCCGAAGCAGAGGGACTCGGGACACCGAACAAACGACACTTGGCGACGGACAATGCATTCAACGTATTTCAACGTTGTATCTAGCACTGTAACATGTACCCAAAAGAAGGGCCCTGTCGTTGGAGGGTGCTTGGGGATCACGGGCTGTGCTTCAAAACTGAAGACTGAAGACCCAGTAATTAGATGGATGTGTCATTCATGATTCATAACCATTCCAACGCCCACTGGCAGCAATAGGATGCAATAGGTACGTGAGCTTTCATTCCTTTTTGGAGTGCTTTGCTGGATTATAGTGGCAGCAGATAGATGTCACATCACATGTTTATTGTAGATGTATTGTACTTCCTGTTAGATGTCCAACAACTTCACATGTTTATTAGTGAAACTGTAGATGTACTGTATTTGTTTTGTAGTTGCTGTTAGATGGTCAAAATTCACTGGGTTCGGGGAAGGTTTTTCACTGCAGGGTTGATCATGCTATACTACCCCTTGGGACAGTTTTCAGGTTCTCACGGTTCGGATCCTTTGCAGCCGCCTTTTGTTGTCAAAAGAGTGTGGACCTTTTCCTTCACGGACCGTGCCATGAAAGCACCGGGAAGCCAGGAAAGCTCTCTTTTTGGCTCCACCAATCTCAAAGGAATACACCTCAATTGGTCGTATGTCAGTATTGAATGGTAAGTACATGCATCTACTGACCTACATGAAAATCACATGACGACCACTGAAACCAACCAAGCATATCCAAATATCAGCCGATGGTTTTAGTATTCTTTAGTCTTTAGTGGTTATTCATGCGGTTTTCATGCAGTCCACAATCTTTAAAGATCAACACCAGCCTGCTTGCCGGCCCGTAGCCTCCAAAAACCATGCATCTAGGTGAAAATTACTCCCAAAGAATGCCCCAGCCTCAAAACGGCCGAAAACTTCCAGCACAGAGTGTGATGGGACGTCATACATCCGAGGTCCCGGCGTGCCATGAAGAAGCCAAAAAACATAAAACACGCTGTTCGGACAGTGCTTGGAGACATACATCCCTGATAGATGCAAGTCCAGACATCCCGCATCGCAGGCGGAGCCGACGGCCTCTTTGGTGACTCGCCGCCCAGTTGGTTCGATCAAATCGGAGGGAGCAGCTCTTATTTCTGAGTGCACCTCGGACCCCAATGCATTTTCGTGTTTCACTTCGGCCCAAAAAAGGACGACGGCTGCCCTGTCGGTGGCGACACCGGGCCACGGGTATTCAGGGGACGAGATTGGGTGACTGGGTGACGCGTCGACACGCGGACCCCCACATCGGTGACGTCTCGTTCTCTTTGGTTCAGAATCGAAGAGCTCGGTGGGGCAAAAATTCTAGAAGATGTCGTCGGGTGTGGCCAAAAAACCGGGTTCCAATAGGTTTATACTTTTGCCCACACGTGCGGCTTCGGCATAGGTAATTGACGGAGCCGTGTGTTTACTTGCCAGCAAGTAAAGCGTGTCCATGAATGTCCTTGAGTGTTTTGTTGGTTTGCGACATGTTCTGGAAGGTTTGAGATGTATGGTTTTTCGGGGGAAGAGCAACCAAGTGCATGGATAGAATATGATAGAATACTATAATATAGATCAGAATAAGACCTCAAGTTACCTTAAGTACAACTAGTTAAGTACAACTAGAATCACTATTTAACTACGTCGCATTAAATGACAAACTTTCAAACATGTCCAGCAAACGCGGCGAGCAGACGCGGCAGATGTCCGTGTTGAGCCACAAGGGGTCCGCAGGCTCAGCCAGGGCAGCCAGGCTCAACGTCCAAAGCAGCCTTTCTTGGATTAGTACGGACAATGTTTGATTTAGGAGGCTTGTGTAGGGCCAGCACAAATGTATCTTGATCTGTAATAATCTATATGCGTGCAGAACTGTGGAGAACCGATGACACCTGTCAAGTTTCGGCTTCACAGTGGATTCGAGGTGGAAAGCCATTGAAAGATAGCCAAAAGGCGATCTTGCTTTTGAAGTAGAAGCACCCGAAGACAGATCATGCTGATTGAACAAAATAAAGCGAACTTGCTGAACCTAGCGGAAAGACCTCCACATGTCAGATGAAGTGTGAAAGAAGACAAGGGAGACTTGATCATATTCATGATCGGGGACCATGTGTTAACCGAAAGAAATTGTTGATGGCTGTGGGTCAATTCCTGTGGACAATTCCTGTGGAAGGTATAGACATTAAAAGCATCGTCCAATGAACCACCCGAAAGGTCAACCTGTATGTAGCTTCTTGCATTCTTTCTGTCACAAAACGCATCTAAAAGCAGACATGCCCACCAAGCATTGGGCCCATCTTCGTGCGCGCCCCGAAAACCACCTGAAGACCGAATCACACGCGAACACAGCCGAACCGGGCGGCGAAGAAGTGGCATGGCGAAGGTGCTGCTCAGCAGGATGGCGAACGAGGCGAGTTCATGGCCTGGTATAGAGGGTATTGATGGATTTTATGGCCTTCCATTTGGGATGGAAGAAGAACACATGATCTAAGATCTTCTAAAATGATAAGAGGAAGGTGTTCCTCTGGTGTTTGCCATCAGAGTCCAGAAGGCAAGATTCAGCGGGCACATGTTTGGAGCATGAGACCGCTGAATCAAAGAACATGAAAGAACCCCTGGAAGAAGGAGCATGGACCAAACGACATTCTGAGACCAAACTCGGTGCAAGTACAACTCTACAACACCGACGGTTTTGTTGTGCAGTTTGCGACATGAAATTGAAAGCAAAGCCAGATCAAGCCAGTTACCACTATGGTAGCATATGGTAGGTTGACCAGTGTTTCCAAAGACGGAATCCCCCTGGTGACCTCGCTCCCAGGTACTACCCTTCCTTCTTAGCTTTCTGGACTTTGCTTTCAGGCGGGGTGGAGGCCATCGCTACTAGGGTGGAGGCCATCGCTATTAGGTTGGAGGCCATTACTACTAGTAACAAGAAGCTACTAGGAAGAAAGGACATCGCTCAAGAAGCTACTAGTAGCTCCTGGCCTTACTACTAGTAACAAGCTACTAGGGTGGAGGCGTTGGCGGTTGAAACGGTGCCGTGGAGCTCGGGCAGATCGGTGCAGATTCGTGGAGCTCGGCTCTCTTGGCTGGGTGGTTGAAGCATTTCAGCCGTCCAAGGCTTCCTTGGGTACAGCATATATAGACAATAAGCCATTAAACAACCAACAAAATATGCATATATAGGGCACTATTCATATATAAGCAAGTTTTTTAACAAAAAGCCATAGCCATAGCGACACAAACAAACATATAAACCTGAAATAATAATCTATTTTTGTGCGGAAGCAACAAATTAGCAACGATCCACACCCTCCGCTCAGTGGTGGTGAATCACAGCTTACTTAAGCTACTAGCCTTACTTGAGTAGCCGCCTACTTAATTACTGTAAGTAAGGGTGGGCAAATTCAAAACAATTCCTATTTCTGACTAGTTTAGTCTCTACAAACCAGCCATGACTGGTACTGAAAGCCACACGTCGCGAACTGCGGCAGGCTCCTGGTGATGTTTGCCCGAGCGCTCTGGCAGTCACGCCAGGAGGCGACTGACCAACATTCAGATGTTCGGGGTCCGTAGTGGTTGGATGAGGCGTTCGTTCCTGCGTTTTGGGTATTAACCAAGCGAGCTCGAAACAGGTTGAAACTGAAACGTCTTCCTCACAAAAACTATAAAGACCGAGATGCGGTGTGGAATCCTTATGGGACTAAGATACTCCTGGTTCCCACAAAGATATGGTTTGATGGCCTGAATTGATGGTACATAGCATGATTGGTTGGGTTTCATCCAGCACCATGTCCGCCATGTGGAATCATGCATGGCGTGCCAGGTGTATCTTGCCAGATTGGAGCTGGCCGATGACCAAAGAGTACCACCAGCAGTTCTAGTCGACCAGGCTGAACCTAGCAGTTCTAGTTGATTTGCTGCGGCGAATCCACACGGATCATGACCGATCCAATGAATTACAGTAAGCTGGGGTTTCCTTGGGGCGTAATTGGTGGAGACCGTAGATGTCCATATATGTCCGATTTTTACGCTTCCAAATCTGTTGGAGGCATACAAACATCAATTTTTGAGCCGAGCTGATTGTCGTTCGCATGTCGGGCTTCACATAGCTTCGCAGGACCAAGGTCCGACACCTGCCGAAAATGAGTGGGGCACCCAATGCCCCAAAACCTCTCCGGGCTCGATGTTTCTCTCAGTCTCTCTTTTTTTTGAGAAGGTTCTTCACCTTTCGACCAAGTTCCAATAGATTCGCAGGTCGGCTTTCCGGAAGCATTTGTTCCACCTGGCTTCTTAGGAGACCTGATCTAGTTATAAGTGGTTTTTCTTTTAGAGCATCATGCTATAGACTATAGACGTCGATCCTTTCTGACTCCCGGCGCTTGCAGCGTAGAAGCCGCTTCCCTGCTCCGACTCGTCACTCCCGGCAGGTCCCAGCGGTGCCCTGCGTCACCGCGGTCCGCCCATCGGAGATGTGGCCGGATCCGCTGGAGGTGCGGTGAAAGAAGAGGTCGTTGTGAAACCTGATCTGAAGATATGGCAATGGTTTTCCAAAGGGGTGCCCTGAAAAGAGTCAAGGAATTGAATAGGTTTGTGCCATTGACTCTGCACAAACTACCCAGATTTCAAGCAAGTTCACTGTAAGAAGGAACCAGTGCTTTGTTGATTCGTTGGAACATATTTCTTGTGCAACAACAACATCGTGTACACTGGCTACAACAGCGGTGGCATGGAATCGCTTGCTTTGAGGCGCTCTCGCATTTGGATGGCCTGGTGGAAGAGGTGGATGAAGAGGAGAACCTCTCCATTTTTGAGCTACAGACTTGGTGGATGAGAGGTGGGGATCACCCAGCTCCCGGAGACCCATCAGACTGATGTCTGGTCGACAGCGGACAGCGGACAGCGGAGATGATGACTATTTATATGCATGATTTGTTGGCGTTACATTGGTGTGGTTCCAATAAGATGCTTAAACAAGGGTCGATGTATACAGGTGCGGGCATCGTTTTCTTACTGCCGCTTGGTTGTTGGGGATAGGGATCGTTTTCTGGAGGTTTGGAGGTGGGGATGGATGAAGGAGCTGAAGGTGATAGGGTGACCCAGCAAGGAGGTGGATTTTTAGAGCTGGATAAACCCGTGAGGACCGTGGGCTTGGAGGATAGGTTGAAAAGGCTAGGGTTAGGGAGCTGGTTGGAGAGGTGGTTGGAGAGATCACAAATGCGGAGTGTGATGGCCAGCATCATGCTGAAGTCTCGACTTTGGTCAGTGAGTGAGAGGATGTCCTTTCACACATCTAGTATGATCTATATAGTTATTATCCAGCTATATCATTCGCAACTTCGGCAGCCAAGACGCCTTTTCCAAGGCGGTTGCGCCCAGAAGTTGCAAGCCGAGCTGGAGTTGGAGAAGGTGGTGGAGAAGGTGGGAATGGCATGGGAGACCACTGAGACTGAGACCTCCAGATTTGGGCAGCCTCTGGGTTTAGAGATCAATGAATACTCCCCCAACAAGCTCAACAGCCTTGGAAGTGAGCGAGTTGTTAGGTCGTCTCAGGCCATCGAACAGGTTGGAGTTTCTGAAAGCCATTGAAAGCCAAGTAGCTTTGCAAGAGAAGAGCCGGCCTAACACAGAATGTAGGGAGTTGGGTGCTTTTGGACCAAACCTTGCTTCCACACGGTGCGTTGGGCTTGCTGTTTGCCTCATCTCCAGTCATCGCTGCTCGCCGATTGGTGTCGAAGATGTTAAAGAGGTGGAAAGATATTGGAGAATGGGGGGTCTTTTGAACTGCTCAAGCTTGCGTCACCACTACTTCAGGAGGAAGAACGTCCTTTCACTCGTCCTTTCTTCTTAGCTGTTCTTGCAACATATGTGGATCAGCCGCGGTCGAATTCGGAAATCCATTTCGCGTGGCCGGTCAGTTATCAATCGCTTTTAAATTTGTAAGTATTTGTAGCATTAAAGAGCTTTGCTGTGTGGATGGCTTGGCCCCTCGGGCAGGTGCAAGGGCTTCTGAAACGACGTGCTCGGATGGATGTGAGTCTCTCCGAGGCCCGTCCTGGGGACGAGGTTGGACGAGGTTGGACGCACCAGTCCTGTTTCAGGTGGATTTGCAGTACTTTTGTTGCGTTTGGGGTGAAGTTGGTGGTACCAGGAGTCACATGGAGGGCCGTCGGGTGGTGTGCCTCGTCCCATCGTGGATGATGATCACACCCCCACGTTCATGGAGAGCAGCCCGTTACGTTGTTTGTGACTGTTGGTATCATTTACTGTATTTGCTTTGGGACGGAGATCCCAGGACCGTCCGGAGGACCCCGTCCGAGGACCCCTCAGCAGTGCTTGCTGCTTGGCCCCCGAGCCCAGCTAGATCCATATATACGGGTAGGACGTTGCTTGGCGCTGGGCTCGGAGTCGGCGGAGCTAGACACGTAAGACGCTGCAGGCTGGAGCTGCCATCGCCGTTGGGAGCTCAGAGGCGTCTCCCAAGGCGTCTCCATCGCGCCGCATCACTTGTCTCCATCGTGCCGAAAGCTCATCGTGCCGCACGGGGGTTGGAAGCCTCCAGAAGGGCCGCATCAATTCATACCCTTCGTAGGAGATCTCAGAAACAAATTGGGACGAAGATGTACGAACCCCACTTCAAGGTACGCTTCCCTTCTACGACCTTCTACCACCAGGTTCGTACCTTAGTACATCTTAGTAATTATAGTGTTTGAGGGTCCCAATCCGGTGGTAGAATTGGTCAACCTCAGCTCCTCAAGCTGTCTCCTCTTTCGTCGACTCTCGGCGTGAGAGACATGTCTCGGCGCGAGAGACATGTCAGGAGCATGGATGTCCCGACCTTGCGATGCGAAAAAAGCCGGGCCAAGAGCAATTGAAAACTGACCAAGCAAAACCAAGATGAACATGTGAAAGCTATTGATTTATTCCCACGGATCTGGGCGCAAAGGAGGTGGTGAAAGCAACGATCCACACCCTCACAAATTGTTGCAGGCAAAGCATCTACAGTAAAGTAAACAGGAGCTGCTGGTAGCCGAGGGGGGTAGCGAAGGCAAGTGAAGTGAGTCCAATGACTTATGCTTCTTCAAGACAGCTCAAGTGGAATATAGAAGTCGTCCATCCTCTATTCAAGATTTCTACCTTTTTGCCTGGTTTTCCCATTTGCTGCCAGGCCCCCCTCCTCTCTGTCATCCCCGCCCATCTCCTCATGTTGCGGCCAAACTCCACGACCCAGGTTTTGGGTGCCAAAAAACTGGAGTCCGCTTGAAACCCAAATGGAGTCCGCTTGAAATCCAAATGGAGTCCGCTTGAAACCCAAATCATTTGGCTCATTCAAGTGAACATCTTCAGCCAGCTTTTGCGTTTGGCGCCACAGCTGACTGGATCGATGCTGCGATCGCTCAGGTCTTTGGGCCTCGCTCAGCGATGCAGTTGGCCGCACCCCAGTCGGGTAGCACAGCGTCGAATGGCACGGCGTCTCAAACTCTGTTGGGGGTTACTCCAAACACGGAAACATGGGGATATAAAACTGTGTTAGTCTGGAAATAGATGGAAATAGCATTGTCAAAATACGGAGTAAAGTTCTATTGGCAATAGTGTGGTCCAGGATGATCATAGGAAAGGAATCCTTTTGGGTGATGTATTGGCAAGGACATGAATGAAAGGACACATTCAGAGCTCTCACTGGCAGTAAGGAGCAAATTGCATAGTTGTTGACTGACTGAGCTGACTTGCTTGCAAGAACTCAAGGCTTGCTTGAGAATAGAACAGGTGTGGCAGACCAACGTGCTCTTACTGGTCCTACTGGCAGAAAGCAAGACTTTCATACAAGAGGAAAACAAAGCTCCCAATTAGAATTGACAAGTTTCCTTGGATTTGATTAGATTCAACAGATTTCAACACGACAACAGATGTTCAACATGTCCTTTCTCCAGTGTGGTTTGTGAACTTGCTATGTGATGTATCACAAAGTGCAATCCTTTGGGGGGTTGTTCTGCTGAGGTCTTCTTGAAGTTTTGTGTAAACAAAGGTTACTGTTGCCACCACCTCTCCCAGCAGCCCTGCCGCCGAGGTTGAGAGTCGCTGGCCTCGAGGAGGCGGGGGCGAGGGTGACTGCTCGAAAAGTGAAGCAGCGAGACCGAGAGTAGATGTTGATGGGGTTCAGGGTTTATAGGGTTTATTTTCGGGTAATAATCGTAATTCGTTGTAATTATACATGTTTCAAGTCTCTCTATTTCTATACACTCATTTATACAATCTACAAGGGATCTTCAGCCTTGAGATAAGCTTTCTGAAGGAGAGATGGCCCCCATTGTGGAGTGTATGAGTTTCGTCAAACCGAAAAGGGTGTTCAGTACTGAGGTTGGGTTGGCACAACGACTTGTGGGTGGGTCCTGGCATAGATCTCCTTTTGCATGATGTTGTCAACTTAGAAATAGAACAGATTATAAGCAGACGCCAAGTGAAGGATGTCTTCCGAGCTGCGGGCTTGGGAAGTTGGGCTATGTTCTTGAAGGGTTTGTTTCAGTTCCCATCTACTAGGAGCAAGGACGCTACTAGGGCTAGGGGCTCCTGGCATCGCTACTAGGAGCGTTCGGACGCTACTTTCCTCAACACCCCGGACCCGTTTCTACGCTCCGTCCGATATGTCCCGCGGCCCGCGGGATTTCTGCGAGCACGCAGCAGGAGCGACCGCGAACGCGGCCGAACACGCCGTCGACCGGCTTTTTTGGCCTGCACTGCAGCGTGCAAGAGGCGAGCATGGGCAGGGAGCACGGGCTCCCGCGGGGAAGCTGCTGAGACTTGGGGTCTAAGTCTCTAAAACATACATATTAATATATATATATACATAGAAGGATCAATCTTCGGGTAAGAGGTGGTTATTGCTGGCAATCTCACCTGTTAGAGCTCACTGTGCCAACAACTTGAGCAAGCGAGCCATTGACCATTGAATCTTGAAGCCTAGAGGCCTAGGGGTTCGGGTCTTTTGCTCCAGATTAAAAGAGTTTTCACGGAAAACGTGTTCATCCCACCCAGTTGGTAGATGCCCAAGGATTTCCATACAATTGTCCAATTGCCCAAGCAACACTTGTTTAAGCTGCTCGTTCTCAGCTCAGACTTTGGCAAGAAAACATCCAAGCTGCCGCTTCGCTCATGCCGCATCCGCCGCCTTGGCCCACGGCTCTCGATGGTCAGGTCTGGGACCTCGCGAAGGCGCCTTGGGGACCTTTTTGGCGGGTGTGGAGGTGGCAGGCTGACTTCGAATTATTGAGACGTTTTTCAATGACCTGAAAAAGAGACCAACTATTAGCACGGCCGATCATCAGGACATGTTGATTAGAGATGATTTGAGGATGTGACAGTCTAGGAGTTGTCCGGTTACCACTGACTGGTGCCTGTCAGGAGCACTTGCTCTTCGATGCGCCGATCTGGCTTGCTTTTCAATGTATGTATAGTACAGTAGAGCTTCGCATACCCGCGATGCGATGAGAGTTGTTGTTGTTGTTGTTGTTGTTGTTGTCGTGGCTGTTGTTGCTTCCTTTCTGTTGTTGGACAGATTCCTGGATGGACGCCCTTCCCGGATGTTGATCCCTCTTTTGCAAGTGATTTGTTGGAACACACCTTGGTAGAAATAGCTCCGGTACCCTCCAAGGCATGATGAGCTGCAGCCTTTAGGCACATGTTTGCCACAGACCTTCATGCCAGAGACTGCTGCAGATGTTGTTGTGGTAGCAGTGTTTGACTTGAAATCAAACTTGACATGTGTGGCTAACCGTCTTGCTCCCACGCCAGGTTCGAGGCAGAGTGGCTGGATTTGGCGTGCCGCTTGGCGGTCGTTGGAACATGCGTAACCCATGAGCACGACATGCCACGAATGGAAATGTGATGAACATGAACCATGGGTGATGTTCGATGCCGAACTTTGCTGCAATGAACAGTGCGCACAGGAATGCAACATGGAACCACAATTTTATCAATGATTTGATATATTATAATATATATATTATATATGTGGATTCAGTGATTGATTGCCAAACATGGGAACTCTGTTCTGGGTGTGCGCTCTGGCTGCAGTGCTGTGCACATGCTTTTGAATTTCAAGCAGCCTTCAAGCACTCTTGTCGCGTTTGTGTGCATTTTCACCCTGTTGGGGACGGGTGCGGGGTGCGTTGGTGATGGGCCTGTTCAGTTTTAATGTGTTCGGATGTGCTGCTTGCCATGGTCACGGTTTCGGCGCAGTGTCTTGAGGGTTTTGGATGTTCCAGTGCCGGTTGCTTGGGGTTGCTTGGGTTCGGTGTCGGTTTTAGGAACTGTATTGATAACAGGCACTGGTGTCGTTTTGCCGCCGCGGTATTTGTCAACTCGAGACTCGAGATACATTCCTAGAACATGTTCCTTTGCAAACTGCACGATCCCCAGGTGTTTGGTAGCAACATGTGTTGGATGGGTGGGCCAACACCAGCCAATACCTGTCCGCCCAATTGGGGTTTGGATGACGAGCAGGTTTGCTTTGGCAAGCTATTTGGGGGATCCTGCAGAGTCCATGGATTTGGGATGATTTGGGTACAACACGCGAAGATATTGATCAGTATGATGGGCAAACATCATCAGCATGATGGGTTCTCAGCGCTGTACAATTCAATTGATATGTGTTATACATAATTTCATAATTACTGCGTAATTATATAATATTACACAGTACACTGTACACGCATAGATAAATTTGTTCTGTATGTGTTGTTTGCTTGCCATCCAACAAATTCACTGACCACGTTAAATGAGACGGTGCTGCTCAGCGTTGTTTCAACACGCCCAGGTTCAACCCCGCCCATACGGCAGTTGCTGAGGGAGCGGTTAAGAGAGGCCTGGGTGTTCTTGGGTGTTGCGGTGTGGACTTTCGTGTTTTTCCCCACTAAATCAGAAGCTCCTTTGGCCAGAGTGTCAAGGGCCCCAAGGGCTTTGCCGGGAAGCCCTGGCTTGACAGATGGAACAGGTGGAAACCCTGGCTAAATATTTACATTTTCAGGGACACGGCTCAGGGGTTCGTTGATGGTATTCCCCGCTCGGGGTTTCGTTTGGGATTTTTGATGGGGGGAATGGTGGATGAGAGTCTGATGAGTTGGACGTTCGGCCCTTGTTTTGGGGGTTCATGGGTCCACCTGTGACAGATCGTGTCAGGAAAAAATAGGGCGTGACTGTAGGTGTTGTGAGAGATTTGGATCCCGAATTTTCGGGACGATGACACGTAAGAGTTTTTAGCCTTGTTGCATGGAGCAGTTTTGGCCAGCATGGTCATGTTGCATTCGCAAGCAGAGCAAGGCTGAGTTCGATGCATTTTAGATCATTTTAGTATGTTTTTATCCAATTGGCATAAGCTAAGAAAGGGCGAGTTCAGTGAACCTCCTCTGTATAGAGGAATCATTGGCTGGTGAAACTGAGGCGAATCAACGCGCCCTGTTCCGTAGAGCTTTGGATTCAAACAGATGGTACCAACCCCGCTCTCTCTCTCTCTCTCTCTTTAGTGAGACTTACAGGCTGGACAAAGCCATCGCTCAGATGTCCAGCTTTGGGTGAAAAAAGTGGATGGGAAACAGGAGAACACGAACAAAGCCGCATGTTCCTTCCAGGAAATAAACGAAGACTTGAGTACATTGGTACACTGTACACTTGGTACACAGTCGCAGCAACTTCATAAATGTGTTACGTGACACGAGTGCTTCTTTAAGGGTAACAGGCTGCTTCTGTCTCACCCTCCGTATAACTTGGGCTCACATGACTACGAACGCGCAAGGGCATTCCACTACGAACGTCACAAGGGCATGACTACGAACGTCACGTTCGAAGCTGCGAACGTAGCGCCCTCAGGGCGTCATAAGATGCTCACGGGTAACGGCTGAACGGCAGACGGCCGTCTTCGTCTGCCAGGCAGTGCAAGGCACTGAGCTGCACGTCTTCATGGCGGGTTCCTTAGGATGAGAATCAGGTGGCACAGAGAGAGAGAGAGGGAGAGAGAGAGAGAGAGAGACCCGATCCGGAGAGAGAGACGCTCTCCGAACCGCTCCGTAGGGTTGCCACTGGAATGGTTTGACAATGGACGAGCTGCGATCGCACCTCCTTTCACATGTCTTGGACATCGTTTCGTGCTCTATTTTGGCACGCCTGGACTGTGGTTGACCTCTAACAACAAACAAACATGACCAATTGATCCCATGGTTTGGAAGTGCTGGTTCCCACTCCCAACTCTAGTTTGCAGTATGTCTCACAGGGCTCTTGGCTCTTGAAGGTTTCCTGAGGAGCTCCTGAAGTGTCTCTCCCTCTATCTCTTTTCTCTTTGGAACCAGCTGATTTTGTTCCAAGGCATATGTTATGCTGGTGCACATCTTCACATGCTTCATGAGGATGCATTCTTTTTGCTCAACTGGACCCCTTGAGATCGCTGGAACAAAAACAAGGACCGGTGAGTGAACCCAACTACTAGTACCCTTCGTGTTTGAATTTCGACCTCCCAGCACCGAGATTCGGCCCAGAAAAGGCAGACCTGTTGAAGAACCTTCGGTGTTTTTTGTTCCGAGGATTCCAATCCTTGGGAGGAGACGACCTCGCAACATGCTTGCCGGGGACTCCGGAGCGAACAGCGGAAGCGGAACCCGCGCGGAACGCCCACGCGGAACCCGCGGAACCCGCGGTGCCCGGCCCGGGATGAGACTCAGAGGTGACCTGGATGTTGGTTTGGTTCCTTTGATGTGTTAGTGGATGGTGTTACTTGAAATTATTTGAGCTGTGGTGGTTGACCTGGATTGATCCCCCTTTCAACCAGTCCTTCATGTAGGCAAAGAGTACAATGCCACGGATTCACTGGGTGTGAAATCATGTGTCCTGTCCTGCTTCTAATTTTTGTAGGCCCTTTCTGTTTGGGTGATGCTTGGGGGCAGTGTTCAGTTAAGTCAACCCCTGTCAGCCTAAGTGGGGGACCTGTATCTCGTCATTCAAAGTCTAAGGAAGAGATATGAAGAGATCATGGGCTCGCACGGGATTCACATGGAGATTTGCCCCACTCTTCGCTTTGGGTGGATCTTCTGAGTGGAACTTCACCACGTGGCCTTCAATGGCCTCCCAGCCACGACGTGCGAAACGAGCGTGCGACTCGTTCGTCCCTACACCACGACGACTTCACAGCATCACGAATCATCGCACTACACACATCTAAACGCCACATCACAGATCAGTCACAACACTTCGTCAACTCACAAATCACCAGTCTTACACTAGGATGTGTGTTCCGAAGCAGGTGGTTTGATGCTATAGACAAGCCACATCACACCAATCACCGAAAAAGAAAAAACAGCGAAGGGTCACCACCGTCACCATTTGCAAAACCAGCTGAAACCAGTGTCAACACCGCGAACCTCCACGGGAAACGCGAATTCACACCGCGAACCTCCGCAGATCGACCTTCCAACCTGCCGGGCCGTGGGATGTCACATTGCCGCAAAACGGCCCAAACCTCTGGTCCTCCTTGCAGTTTCCTTTGGGTGACTGTAATTGGTAGGGTGTTGGTCCCAAAAACGCTGTATGCTTTTTGGTATGAAGCATCCAAAAGGTGCACCTTCGCTCCTTAGCCACTCCGCTGCCTGCCTTCCACCGGAGGCCTCGATTGGATCGGCGAGCTGAACGCCGAGGTGGGAGCCGGAGGACGCCTCGGTCCATCGGTGGGACCGGACGGTTTTGGACCCGTGCTCCCGGTGTCTAAAACACATAGTTCTGTCAAGCTGCTTCTATGCCGATTTCGTTCATTTCAGGAGTCCTATATATAGTATATATAGGAGTTGTGTTGACCCAAACCTAGTCTGACCCAAACTTCCACATGTACCCCAAGCCTGGGTTGTCAGGATTTTTCAGGTGTTCGAACAACGTTTTCTCAAAAGCGTTCGATTTGTGTCGCTTCCTTCGGTGGACGACACGACCGATGTGGGTTACCTTCGGACCTCGATGGGGGCGAGTATCATCCGAATGAGCCTCTTTGTTGACCTCTATGTTGGACCACCAAGCACCCCAAAAAGATCCCCAAATGTGTGTTTTTCCCCTCAAAGCAAAGCAGAGGTCAAATAGGTCTCTAGGATGGCATAGATCTACTAAATCTTCCAATCATCTTCCAGTTCCAGTCTGACACTTGATCCGCATCCAATGGCCATCCGGCCATGATGGATGCACCTTGTGAGACTCCTCAGTGCCATGGAGTCTCTCAATAAGCAAAGGTCAATGCCACAAGGTCCTTGCATCGAGTCTAATATTCCATCATATTCCATCCATTCCAATCCATTCCATTCCAATCCAATCCAATTCAATGGCCATCCATCCGTGTTCTTCCACCACCCATCCCCAGGCCTGGCGCCGCGCGGTGCGAAGCCTGTCGCGCTGCGTCCGGGACGCGGCGAAATTTGGGTTGGAGACCGCTAAGAGATCTACTCATCCACCCTAAACTCCGAATTACCTAATAACTCCTATTAGAGATACCGAAAAAAACAAAAAAACAGAAAACACTTCAAACACATGTTGACAGCTTTTTCAAGATGCTCCAACCACCCGGCTCGACAGTTCATTCCAGCTCAAACTCTTCCCACTGCATGGACTCCACACGGTCGTCGTGCCGGCTTCCGGCCACCGCTCTTCGACGCCAAGAACGGGGCGAAAAGTGCCAAGGCCGAGCTCGGAATTCAGCTCTCCGCAGCGTTGAGCTGCGTCTTCTGGCTGCCAAAGGATGCCTGGGGGGTGGAAAACACCATGGCATTTCAAACAGGTTGAAGAAGAGTTACATAGAAGATCATAATTGCTGTAAACCTCATGTGAACGAAAAGGAAACGGCTGTATTAATGGTTGACAATCCAGGTGTCACTCAGATTCTCGGTATAGGTTCTATATGGTTCTATTATCATCACAGGTGGTGATGTTTACGGCCACTTCATGTTTGATTCTTTTTGTAGGAATTTGGGCATTTGTTGCGATCAGCGCAATGGCCCGAACCCTGAAGGATGCAGCCCAACACGGCAATTCTTTGCGAGGACTTCTCGCCCCACGTCAAATGAGCCTTGTGACGCAGGCGGCCTTGTGACGCGAGCGTGGTCACTCTGTGGTCGATGAATGGGATTTGAACATCGGATGGGCATTCAGAACATTCTCGTTCTTCGCGCTGCCAAGTGCCCAGTCTCTTCTTTTTACGAGGTCCTACAAGCTTGGGGTCTTCGAATCGGTAACGTTTTTGATACCCATGCGACGTATGAAAGTTAGATTTGTGAGGTCCAGCAGTACGTGTCACGCTGTACCTCACAATCCACATGACTTGTTGCTCAAAGTCCGTCATGGACTTTTACACACGCCATTTGATCCTGAACACCGTGTTCATTTCTTTGGCGTGCTTCTTCTGCTATGCCTGGACGGCCCAGCATGGAAATGCTGCCGTGGCGGCTCTGCGCCATGCCCTGCAGTTTTGGCACTCCGCGGGTCATCCAGAGTCAACGCGGCTCACGGAGGCTCCCAAACAGTCCGCCGTCTGGTGGAAGACGGACGGCAACAGGAGCGTCATCCGCCCCGATGTGGTTTCATCCACCGGTTTGGAAGGCAGGCATTTATTTAGAGTATTTTAGAGTTCAGACCAGTTTTTGGATTTTAGATTTCATTCAAAGTTTTGCTGATATCCAAAAGTGCAAACACCTCTTCTCCTACATTGTATTCCCTGAGAGGCACAACTGTGATGATGAGCTGGGTGTCATCCTCGTCAACCACTGTGCTCTCCACAGCCCAGACCTGGTCAACTGGGACGACCACGACGTCTCCGACCACGACGTCCGCGCCAATCTCGTCTTCGAAGTCGCGAGTGGCGCTGATGATTTGTGGGCAGGTGTGGCCGGAGCACGGGAAGCACGAAGGTTTCAGCTTGTCCGGAGCGAGTGCATTGGGGGCAAACTGCAGGGAGTTCTGAGTGTTTTGTTCAGAAAAAGATGTTGAGATGTTGAGTTGGGACTTTCCTAGTTGGTCCATTGGAAAACCTTGCAACCCAGAGTTGTTTCACTGTCGCAGCATCGACATCATCGACGGGCAAGTTGCTGGCAGGTAGAAAATACCACTGGCCCTGCCACTGGCCCTGGCGGCAACAAGAAATCAAGATAAAGGTATGCAGTCCCATGAAACACTACAGAGTCTATATAAGTGTCTATAGAGTGTTTCATGGTGTTTGATGTTTTGGTGAGATTGGCCACCCATCTTTGCCATCACCTGACTTCCTTGGACCCGTCGCGAGAGAGAGTGAAAGGAATCCCCTCCCCGATGAAGACCTTCCCCCTATCAAGGAATCCCCACTTTGTGATACTTCTGGGGAGTGTTTAAAGGTTCCACTGGGAGGAAGATGGAGGAATCATGATACAATATTCAATATTTGTACACCTATCATCACCTATCCAATTCCAAAGCACTCAAACCACCCAAATGCAGGCCGCATTTGGCTGCATTCGTGTTTGGGAATCCGCCTGGTCCCTTCCGTCAGGTGAGAGGCTTCGTGGGTCAACAGTCCTTGCATGACTTCGTCGTGAAGCCATGGCAGGCGCAGACGTCGCGTCGGGTCGCCCTGCTCCGAGGGCGTCAGCTCTTCGGCTCCGAGCGCTGCGCGCGGGCCTTCAGGGCGCTCCGTGTCGTTGCGGAGGTCCTCATGTCACAACTGCCAGTTGCAGGTCCGGTTCCATCCGAATCCGGTCGTTTTGCTTGCCCCATCACATGCCCAGAAGCAACCGTTTCGCATGGCTCACACTCGTAACTCGTTTCGCCCAATTTCCCGCGGGTGACCGTTCCGCAGGCTGAGGAGATCTCGAAAAGTTGGGAGCTGGACATTTTTGCATGCTTTGACAAGGAGGTGAAGCCCAAGATGACTCTTTTCCGTGTAGTTTTTTTTGTTTTTCAGCATGGGACGAAGGGAGATGCTTTTGGGGGTTCTTCTGCGCGTGGGGTTTGCCATGGAGCTGGTCCAAGTAGAAAAAGATGATATTACCCAAACATGGAAGGCTGGTGTGCCAGTTGTTGGGGGCTTGCAACCTTTTGACCTCATGGAAGTTGGGCCAGTCTGGATTGAGAGGAACTGTAGAGAAGATCAAATCAAAGTGCCCCAATATACCCCAATTCAATTCAATTGACAATTCAAGGGCATTTCTCCAGATCTAGGTCGGCACACTGATGGACAGGATTCCATACGCATGGGAAAGGTTGCCGTCCGTTGCCGTCCTCACTGCAGGGGCCTTCGAACGCGGCATGTTTACCTTTGAAGGAATACACACAGCGTGTTTCTTGCTTTTGGATTTGGGATCCAGGCATACTCAGGGCATACTCAGACACAAGCAGTCTCCTTCAGTCTATTTGATGTGTTCCTCAGGATAGCCTGCAGATCAACAGGGACAGGGTGTGAAAATTGCCACGTCGCGTGTGGACTGACGCTCCCAAAAAAACAAGCATCCAAATGGACTCCCCATTGCTCCGAACACCGCATCATCGCATCATCTCGTCACTTCATCCCAACCTCCCTCGCCTCATCGGCCTTGCCTCACCCTAGCAGCCCTAGCCTCCGTCTTCCCCAGGATGCGCTTCACCGCCTCCTTCACCTTCAACGCGCGCACGCAGTTCGAGCGCCTGGGGCTTTGCACTCGGGAGATCCTGCGCTTCGCCGAGCAGCAACACGCAGAGTATCGTTGGATTGTCAGGTGCGGTGGCCGATTGGGCGCTGGACTTCTCGGACGTTCCATCGTCAAAGTGGGTCATGGCCACCTGGTGAGCCACGGGTCTCCGATGTTGCGAAAGGATGCGAAAAGGTTGGTCGAATCAAGACACATCAAGACACGGTCGAACAAGTCCGACCTCCCTGGAGCAGCCGCTCCTTGCAAAACCCAGGTCGAAAGGTGAATGCTATACGTATGCAAAGATTAACACACACATAATTATATAACTATATATAATATATATTGATATATATATATATATATATCAACATTCATTAATTTGGAAAAACATAACATATACCGGTCAATACCTGTCCCTTTTTCATTGCAAAACCTGTCCCATGGCCTATGCCTTTTTGCCAGCCATTACATACCAGTAAACATGCCAGCCTTGCAGATTCTCGAATTCAATCAACACAAGTTCCAAACACCAAACCTCCATACGTCTCCAAACCTCCATGAGTCTTCGGGCGATCGAGAACCGCCGACCCCAGAGCCTCCCTCCGAGACTCGGTGCTTCAGAACAAACTCAGGTGGAGACCCGATTTTCTGGTCTACAAGACGGTGAAACATCCCTCGAGCTTACCACAGGGCTGCATCGGCTGCCGCTTCTTCACCGCGGCTGGCCTCAAGAAGTTGACGCAAGGCGAGGAAGGAGAGACGACGCCGGGTGAACGATCGGGTCGGGAGAGTGGGGTGGTCGGTGGTTTTTTTTCGTCGGTTTGGGGGAGTTTTGCAGATCGGGAAGAATCGATTTGTTGGACTTGAACTTTTAGAAGATACAGTACCTATATACCTTGGTTCAGGCTAGTCGTCTAGTTTCCAGTTGGTTAACTGTTTCAACAATTCTGCATGAGCGTGCTTTGGAATGGATCTTCATCGATGAACTGGTGTTCAAGATTGTCTCTTTTTCGGCCTGAACATAGGCCTTTATTGGCTAATTAAGGGGTTCAAGAATGAGAGGAAGCCACAGGCCGTTATTCCACAGGACATCCTGGCCGGAAGCACTAGGTATGCGGAAGACTGTTTTGAGATCCACTGCAGCCTGCAGCCATCCTGACCTGTAGCGGCACATGCTTTTGGGATGGGCATCCAAGGACTTCGAAGGCACAACTTTCTATGGTTCACGCACGCACTCAGTTTTGTGTGGTTGCTTGCACACACACACACACACACACCTCAATAGTTTTTCTTGATACCAAGCTGCAGAGACGGCCTGGTTTCTCCGTTGTGGTGAAGCAACCATGTAAGCCAGCGTGTACACATGTAAGTGGTTGTCTCTATGGTATAGGTACCAGGAATATCCAGGAATTTTGACCAGCCACCAATTGCAACAATGACCAACCGGAGATCATGCACCTTGACCAACCCAGAGTGCAACAGCTTGCACACCTGCAGCTTCGATCTAACAGAAACGACATCACTGGCGCTGTTCTTCGGCGACCGCTCCGGATCCAGACCGCTCCCAGTGATCGACAGGGATCCACGCTGACCGCTCCCGACCCAGGCATGCTCTCTTGGGACCCCAAGCTCGCCGTGCGACCGGCGGCGCGCAGCTGTGGGGACTGCGACGATCAGGTCTTCATGGTGCCCAGCGAGTTCGTGCGAACGGCCCTCGCAGCATCTCGGACCTTTTTGGTGTTGTTTGATAGGGGGTGGCTTGAAAAGTTATTCCAGGGGTCATGTCACCTACTGGAATATTGTTGGGGTTGCGCATGGTTGCGCATGGTTGCGCAACGTCTGGTGTGAGAGACCGGTGGGGACCATCTCTGATTTTGGGAGCCAACGAGCACTTCGAGGTTCGTTGACGAAGACATGGCGCTGAGAGCCAAGAGCCTTCATGGAACTCCTACACGAGCCGGTGGAACAGAAATCCACAGATTAAATTGTTACCCAGGCAAGTAGCATGTAACAGTAACATGCATGATATGATGCTTCCTCCTCTAGTCTCATCACTATTAAAACACTCCTCAAAGAACCGAAGACATCAGGACTTGGCGCCAACCACATCGACGAGCGCCACACAGCGGTACTTTACCAAGATTGGCAAGGGTGAGTCCCAGATGAACATGGCGACATGGTTTGCACATGTTTGCTTCAGTTGCCCAAGTTTGCTGGCTTTAATAGATCCGTATTAAGTTTTAAGTTGAAAGAGTTGGACCATATGGAGCTCGTCCGAAGCGCATCACTCACCTTATCTCACCTGACCTTCCTATAGCGGCCCCACTGAGGCCTGGGAGAACAATGTGCCCGCAATGCGCGTGTGTGGCATCGAGGTCTTGGGCAGTTTGGGAAAGCACACCTCACGCTGGAAAAGGCCCGACCAACCCACGCCGACCGTGGT